TATCATTAAGCATTTCTTCTTTGTTAGGAAATTCCAAAACTAATTGTAGAGCATCTTTTTCGCCCAAAAGTTGTCAAATGTCACCCTTTGTATAAGGATTTCCGTTAAAAAATATTTCTTGGTAATAGATGTCATCGCTGGTGCTAATGGTTGTACGGTCGATTTTGTCGATCATAACATTACGGAGATTTTGTTTAATTAATGGCTCATTTAAAATGTTTTTTATTACTTCATTTGCCATCGGATTAATCACTATTTGTTCCTGGGCTTTTTCAGAAGGGTTATTAATGTAGGCTCCATTATAAGTAACCAAAAAAGTATCCAAGCCAACTTCTTGATAAAAAGGTAGGGCTGATAAATAATTTCGCCCGGTTGTAAAGCAGATTTTGTGCCCTTGTTTTACTAATTTTTGTAAAATTCCTTTTAGTTTCTGATTTAAAGTGGAAAAGTCAGGATTGGTACTAGTTCCATCGATATCTAATTTAATTAAATGTTTCTCTTGGTTGGCTGTTTTTATATTCATATATTATTAATTATTATTTTTTGGCTTTTGTGCTCCTCATTAAGTAAATTATTAAGGTTATCATTGTAATTATTAGGGTTGTTGTTCCTAGGACGATTAAGTTATCTGCTTTGCTCTCTGGTTGACTCTTTTGTTTTTTCTCCGAATTTATTTTAGTTTCTATTTCGGCTCATTTTTTGGCGAGGAAATCATCTTGGAAGTACTGTTTTCTGGGGTCCCAAGAACTTTCTAAATTCAAGGAACCATTCTGTTCGTATTCTAACTGGGATGACTGATGAATAAGCATTGTTTTTTTGGTTAAATTTCCCTTTCGCAAACGAGACCTGCCATCTTCCCGAGGTTTTTCGCGCTCATAAGGTTGATAATTTACTTCTCTTATTTCTCATTCTCGGCTATGACGCTTAATATTTTCGGCAAGAGCGTTTTGGTATTTTTGTCAATTTTCCTCAGTAAAATCGCTTTTGAAAAATCTGTAATCAAGAATTTCTGAGTTTGCGATATTTTTTTGACTTAATTTTTTAATTGCTTCTTCTACGAGATAGTTTTTAAACTCCTTTTCGCATTCATCACAGAATTGAAACCTATCACTGCTGTTATTTTTCCCTTTTTTGGCTAAAAACGCTTGAAAAAAGTTATGATTTCTCGAAAAAAGATAACGCCCACTGTAAGAAAAAATATTTTTAAGTTCAATTCCACAATTATCACAACTATTATTATAATAATTCATGGATATTACTAGTTTTAACCCAAAATCTTTTGACAACTATTTATTGGCACATCAGTAACTTCTCAGCCGGAAGACTCAATAGTAATTTTAACTTTCTGTTTTTTTGGGTCGAGATGGGTAATTCGACCCTCACGATTAATAAAGGTTCCTTCGGTAATTTTTACTAAATCGCCAACCTTTAAGTCAACTCCTTGATAACTTTCTGGTTTATTTTCCTTTTTTTCTTTTGCCTTAGCCAAGAAGTTTTTAACTAATGATTCGGAAACAGGATTGGGTAATTTATCATCCCCCCTTTGGTGATTTAAAAAACCAGTTATCTCGGGTATTTTGTAAAAAAAACGGGTTAGTTCTGGGTTTAAATCACAATGACTAAGAATGTAACCTTTTAAAATATTTTTTTGGTTGCTATCACTAACTACTTTTAGTTGGCGAACACGGTCCTGCAAGCCTCTATTTTCTAACTCTAATTTAATTTTTTCAATAAC